ACAAAACATGAAGAAAATAATGTGTGTGAATGTTGATTATGTGGTGTGTATCTAAAAACACTGTAACACAACAATTCACATTAAGAAAAATATTATGGTTACTTTTACCGTCATAATAACATTTATCCCTGACTGCAGCCTTTCTCTGCTTTAACTAACCTTGCATTTAACAGCCTGAGGAAGACATCCTGGCTACACTAACATCTTCAAATACAACAGATCTCTAATCATTATCTATCTAACTAAGAAAGTACCTAACAGCAGCATGGCCTTGGATGTTGACAAATCTGGGCTCTGTCCACACCTGTGGAGTTATTTAGCACATTTGCTTTGTTATTTAAATAACAAAGCCTCAGTCCAAACCATCCATCCATCCATTTTCCAAACCGCTTAGTCCCAAACAGGAGTCACGGGGGGCAGGAGCCAATCCCAGCCAGCTGCGGGCGAAAGGTGGGGTACACCCTGGACAGGTCGCCAGCCCAACACACAGACGAACAACCACTCACACACACAAGCACTCCTACGGGCAATTTAGAGACACCAATCAACCTATGCTGCAGGTCTTTGGACTGTGGGAGGAAGCCGGAGCACCCGGAGAGAACCCACGCAAGCACGGGGAGAACATGCAAACTCCGCACAGAAAGGCCCCAGGTTGGCCGGGGCTCAAACCCAGAACCTGCTTGCTCAACAGCGCTAACCACCGCACCACCGTGCTGCCCCTCAGTCCAAACCAACCAAATGTTATGCAAATAGACCCACACCAAAATGAAAGCATATTATTTAGCATAGGTTGTATGGCTGTTGGAAGACTGCACAAGTCAGAAGTGGATTGAGTTCTTCAGCCTAGTGGCTCCAGTTGAACTTAGGTAAAGAAGAAGGTGAGCATAATAAATGAATAGTTCAGGGTTTTGGGAAATCCACAGGTTTGTTGAGAGCTAGATAATAAGCTTGATATCACTGTTACATCTGGTATGGCTGCCTTAGCTTATTGTAAAGACTGACAGTAACACAGAACCTTGGTGTAGGGTCCATTTGTGGTGTTTGAACCCTGTTATACTTCTTTACAAATATGAATTCAACAAGCAAGATATAATGTGACCTTTAAAGAATAAGGCCTGTCACTTTCTATATTATCAGTATTTTCAACACTCCCAGTATGGAGACTAAAACTGACAATGGATTGCCTCTACTCACTGTTAATGACTGTCAGTCTGTCAGTTCTGGATTAGCACACATCAGGGAAACACACTGCTGCACTGTGTGACATAGTTCCTCATTACAAAACACAAGACCCTGATATTTGTTAAGAATGTCCAGAGATCTCGTGCATGGGTCCTTGACTCTTACTTTAGATGGTATAAAAAGATGGTATAAAAAGTTAGGGCTGCTTGGGACAAATTTTCCATCCATCCATTATCGATACTGCTTATTCCTGAAGAGGGTCACAGGGGCTGGAGCCGATCCCAGCCGACATTGAGCGAGAAGTGGGGTCCACCATGGACAAGTCACCCATCTATCACAGGGCTGACATGTAGACAAACAACCACGGCAATATAAAGTCGCCAATCAACCTAAGCTGTATGTCTTTGGGAGGAACCCGGAGCACCCAAAGAGAACATACAAACTCCACACAGAAAGGCCCTGGATCAGCCCGGGCTCGAACCCAGAACTTTCTTGCTGTGAGGCAATAGTGCTAACCACTGCTCCAACATGTCACCCATGTCAACAACACTGAAAGATAAAAAGATGGTGGACTAGCTAGTAAGTAAGAAGTACTTAATACTATGGTGACAGAAAAATTAAGGACTGATAGCTCGAACCCAGAACCTTCTTGCTGTGAAACCATAGTGCTAACCACCGTGCTGCTGTGCCATCCTGGGACAATGTTTTTAAAAATGTATATATCAGGTTCTTGTGTTTAACTTGTGCAGTGGTGTGTTTCCCTGATTTTTTGAATCTCTTTGAACAACAATGGAGGCCTATGGCACAGACAAATAAACTAAGTTCTAAAACACTGACAGATATTAATCGTGAGTAGAAGCAAATTATTGCTGGTTTTAGTCTTTGTATGGGGACTGTTTAAAATACTGTTAATTTTAAAAAATCACAAGCCTTGTCTGTTAAAGGTGCTGGCTAGTGAACTTTGTTACCCGCAAACAGAAGTGGACCCGCCCGCTGTTTGCCTGTTTCCAGTGTTTATATTAGTGAAGCTAAACCTTTCATGGCTCTGCACACATCCTAGTCACACTGAGTTAAAAGTCATAAAGTCAAGGAAACAGGAAATACACACACTGTTATGATGTATCAAGTTTCCATATGTGTCCAAAAAAAGCTTTTCTTCCTGTTCTACTTTCTTGTTCTGGACAGTTAGCTACAAGACAGACAGTCAGTTCAGATTCATTTTATTTAAGTACAAGTGCAGAAGTAGTAGCAGGCAAATATACTTCAAAATATCAGAAATATAGTACTCATTAGGAAGTAGAATGACTCCTGTCAGTGTTATATTATAGGATACAGTAGGTTACAGTGCATGGAGCATAACATTCTGTCGCTGGTCGAAGTAAAGCTAATTTTAAACTGTACTGTTGGAATGTTTATACCAGTGCAACATATTTTATAAATTGATCACATGTTTTATACGTAAAATTTTTTAAAGTTTTAAACTTTTAACTGTTTCTCTCAAATAAATGTTGCAGAGTAAAAAGTACAACTCTTCGGACTCTGGAGAAGGAGTGTGACATCACCTAAAATTGAAAAACTGGCATAAAATAGTAATATCTCAGAAGTACTTTTCACCACTGTAAAAAGAAAAACTGAAAGATGGATCTATTTGCATCACCCATTATTATCAGCTACATTTTGATGTGACCATGCCAGTTGAAAAATCCACTTATCCATTTCCTTAAAAATCGAATCTTAAACTCATATGAAACCCTGAGGTCACTGTGCCTCTGAGCATGAGTATGTTTGATTTACTCCAGTAGAATTTGGGTTTTAAATTTAACAACAATCTCCTGCCTCTCCTCTGACCTGCTGTGCTGTTTGTTTCAGCCAGTCCATCAGATGGCAATGTGGAGCTGCGCTTCCAGATATGTCACGGATCACACAGGGAAGATTATCTTCAAGTAGCAGCTTGTGCCTTCAGGTACAAATCAACCATCCTGTTTCCTGAATCTTGCAGACTAAATACACAGGCAACATTTAATATTGTGCAAGACACCTACTGCATTCTGGATCCTGTTTCTCTCTGCAGTGTCAGCAAACACATATATGAGTAAAAACCTGTAACTTTCACTGATTATATTACCTGGAGAGGAGTTGCTCTGGGTGTGTTTAGGGTGTATACAACCTGCCAGACAACTGTATATACACTGCAGCTTATCACCTAGGAGCATGTGGACTGCTGTGCTTGTTCAACACACACGCTCACCTGATTCTTCTCTTCTTTGATGACAGATTGTGTAATTGTAATTTGGGTGCAAGAGTCCAAATAGGAAGTGGTTCAACTACAGCTGATCGGTCGACAATGGCTGCAATACTTCATATAGGACTGCACGGGAAAAGGATGTGTAGAAGAAAATGCATGTGGTAAGTACACAAGACTGTTGTCATGTAAACTCCCAAACTGAAGAAGCTGTGTGAAGGTAGGGGGGCACTGTGTGTGTGTGTGTGTCTGTGTGTAAACAGATGCAGGAGTGACAGCATGTCTGCGATTATTTTGGTAGTGAAGGAGAAATGCTGTGATCTTTATTCTGTCAAGTGTCTGCAAATTCTTGCTGTGAGTGTAATGAAGTCTGACTGCTTTGTCTCTCAGACAGCAAACACTCCTGCTGGCTTTTTTTTCTGGGTTTAGATTTGTGACTTTTTTAAAGGCAGCAATAGAGAGAAATGTGAAAAACTAGGAATATGTTCTTATTTTTTTTTAATTCAGTAGTTTGGTAGCGGCATTTGCTCCTGACAAGTACTTTTACAGGTGTTCAAGTTACAGTTTGCAAAAACAGGAAGTTATAAATGCAAGAATCTGAGACATAAGCATACACTTCGCTATCTGCTGCTTGTAAAAGCTGCTGTACAAATTAGAAAATGTTTTAAAGCTTTGTGTGGTGTTTTTAGCTCTCTTGTGAGAGTTAGATAAGAAAGCTGATGTGACTAATATGTCGGTCTAACTGGTATCATTTTATTTATCTAAGTCTCTTTAGACTATGATTAAGTTTTTGGGTCAACACTAGTTTTTCCAACCCATATTATTTTGTTTATAACTGTAGCCATGTATGCCCATCTCTTTGCCGTTTGTTTCAAAGTTAGAGCCAGAGATTATGTACCTTTCCACATCAACCTAACCTTGCTTTGAGTTCAGTCTGACAGTCTGTCTCCAACTGTTGATTTCTGTCCGTGAATGTGGAATTTTTATCTGAGGGAACCTTGGTGGTTGCAGAGGTGAACGCCTAACATTTCGGTGTCTGGACTCAGATAAAAGTCCTGCATAGCCCTCATATCTCCAGTGCCATCTGAGTAGGTGCGGTTGCTGAATATTTTGTGTTGTGCATATGGAGATCTCACTGAATATTTTGTGTTGTGCATATGGAGCTCTCAGTGTGTGTGTGTGTGTGTGTTGCGTATGTGTGTGTGCACTTGTGTATCTAGGAAAATGAGATCCATGTTGATTTAAAGTCTGCAGAATTTTCCATTTTCTCTTGAACTAAACTCTTGTTTCATATGTCGAGACAAAAGTTGGCTGTTTTGCATCAAGTGTTCAATAACTTTCAAATTTGACCTTTGATGTAGCGTAAAGGTTTCAGGTTTTCTGTTTTTATTTGTGTCACAGTGGTATTATTGTGATCTGTGGTTGACCATAATTGGCTCAAGTCCATTAAAGGTCCAGTCTGTGGTTTTTGGACCCTAAACATTTTAGGGTCCTTTATCAAAAAGCTGGAGTGACAGATGACAAATTGGCAGCTTGGTTGTTTCTTTGCTCATGGATAATCAAAATATAACTTGAGCTTTTCCCAAAAATAAAAATTAATTAAAAAAAAAGATGTTTACTAGCAACCCTGGCTCCCAACAAGAAATTACCACAAAGTATACTGCAGTTACGGCTAGCAAAACAGGAAGTAATCCATATAAAACTGCAGTCAGCCATGGATGCAATTGTATGGGAGACCCTTATACTGTACAGTATTGTTCAAAATAATAGCAGTACAATGTGACTAACCAGAATAATCCAGGTTTTTAGTATATGTTTTATTGCTACATGGCAAACAAGTTACCAGTAGGTGCAGTAGATTCTCAGAAAGCAAACAAGACCCAGCATTCATGATATGCACGCTCTTAAGGCTGTGCAATTGGGCAATTAGTTGAAAGGGGTGTGTTAAAAATTGGAGAGGGGAAAACCTATAAAGAGGTGCAAAAAATTATAGGCTGTTCAGCTAAAATGATCTCCAATGCCTTAAAATGGAGAGCAAAACCAGAGAGACGTGGAAGAAAACGGAAGACAACCATCAAAATGGATCGAAGAATAACCAGAATGGCAAAGGCCCAGCCAATGATCAGCTCCAGGATGATCAAAGACAGTCTGGAGTTACCTGTAAGTACTGTGACAGTTAGAAGACGTCTGTGTGAAGCTAATCTATTTTCAAGAATCCCCCGCAAAGTCCCTCTGTTAAAAAAAAGGCACGTGCAGAAGAGGTTACAATTTGCCAAAGAACACATCAACTGGCCTAAAGAGAAATGGAGGAACATTTTGTGGACTGATGAGAGTAAAATTGTTCTTTTTGGGTCCAAGGGCCACAGACAGTTTGTGAGACAACCCTCAAACTCTGAATTCAAGCCACAGTACACAGTGAAGACAGTGAAGCATGGTGGTGCAAGCATCATGATATGGGCATGTTTCTCCTACTATGGTGTTGGGCCTATTTATCGCATACCAGGGATCATGGATCAGTTTGCATATGTCAAAATACTTGAAGAGGTCATGTTGCCTTATGCTGAAGAGGACATGCCCTTGAAATGGTTGTTTCAACAAGACAATGACCCCAAACACACTAGTAAATGAGCAAAGTCTTGGTTCCAAACCAACAAAATTAATGTTATGGAGTGGCCAGCCCAATCCCCGGACCTTAATCCAATCGAGGACTTGTGGGGTGATATCAAAAATGCTGTTTCTGAAGCAAAACCAAGAAATGTAAATGAATTGTGGAATGTTGTTAAAGAATCATGGAGTGTAATAACAGCTGAAAGGTGCCACAAGTTGGTTGACTCCATGCCACACAGATGTGAAGCAGTTATAACAAACTGTGGTCATACAACTAAATATTAGTTTAGTGATTCACAGGATTGCTAAATCCTAGAAACAAAAACGTTTGTACAACATAGTTTTGTGTTTGTACAGTCAACGGCAGACACTGCTATTTTTTTGAACACACCCCTTTCAACTAATTGCCCAATTGCACAGCCTTAAGAGCGTGCATATCATGAATGCTGGGTCTTGTTTGCTTTCTGAGAATCTACTGCACCTACTGGTAACTTGTTTGCCATGTAGCAATAAAAAATATACTAAAAACCTGGATTATTCTGGTTAGTCACATTGTACTGCTATTATTTTGAACAATACTGTATATGTTCATACACCTTGTTTTGTTTTTTTGTTTTTGTTTTTTAGGAAGAATTTACACAGCTGATCATTATGAGCCATTGTTATTTGTACAACTGTTATCCAGGTCGAATTCACTACACGAGATAGCATTAACTTTCTGCTACTGTCATGCTGCAGAAAAGGCTCATTGATAATGGAGGGTGTTTTTTCAAAATGTAGTTTTTGTGGCCTACAATACAGAGTGAGAGTAAGAATAAGACCTGAAAAAGTCTTTTTACTTCAAACCATGTTCCAGATCTGATGAGGCTCCACGTATTAGTAAACCTGACTTCATAATGCTCCTTTATGAGACAGCCTCCTGTTGTTAGGGATGGAAAGCCTCTGTCAGATTGGATGACAGGCTGATATCAGTATTTGATAAAAAGGCAGAAAGCGTGTGGGATGTCGGTCTCTCAGCTTCCCTCCAGCGGCTGCTGACTGCTCATGCAGAGAACAAATAGAGGCTGTGGGGCTGAAGATCTCAGGCTGATATGAGAAATGAAGGGTGTTGCACTCCCGGAGGCCTAGTATCCAGCTGTATTTACTGTATAACTAACAAGCTGAGGCATTGCCAACTTCAGTGATTAGCTTTACAAACCCAGTCATTAAAAAGTAAGTAGGTCCTAGCCATAGTAAGTCTGAACAGTATCACTGCTGCAAATAATGAGCACCTGGACTTCTTGTTCACAAGTGAACGGCTCCCTGCCAGTATCCTAATACTAAGCCTGAAACAGTCACAAGAAATAAATCAAATCAGTATGTGCCAAAAAATATCACAGTTGAATTCGCTCTGCCTGGACAATAAGGCACTATGAGGTCTTTAACCCTTGTGCTGGCTTCATATATTGTGTTACACAGTTAGTCTTCCCGGGTCTGGTGGACCCAGTCAACACAATCATACAATTTTACGTTCAAGTACTCAACAGATGTTTACTTCTTCCAAATTACAAGCAATATAAACAGCATATATGGTTAATATTTACCCTTTATCTTTGTTAGAACAAATTTATGAATTAAAGTGCTACGCATTTTTTTAATGCAATAAACAAAGAAAATCAATTATAATCACGATATGAGTGGAAAAAAATCAACAAATTTACAAATGAAGCAAGATTGTTCTTAACTACTGATTTTTATTTGAACCTCAAAAATGTAACTCATTCAGGTCAATTTGCACATCACAAGGTGAACAGATACACTAACCATCTCAGTCTACACAACACAGCAGCCCCATTGAACACATACCAACCTATACAACACATTTGGGGCAGAGTTTTACTGTGTGTGTGTGTGTGTGTGTTGCATATGTATGTCTTGCACTTGATGCATGTATACTGCGTTTTGCTGTTCGTCTTGTCCACACACTCCGCAGCATTTCTTTTTGCTGCTGCCGGCAGAATAATGAAAAGATAAGGAATTATACTTAGCACTTAACACCTCTCTCTCCAGCAAAGCATGAGTGTCACAAAAATACCGCAACAACATCACAGGATTACCTCAGGCTCTGCAGATGGTGGTTCTGTAGGTCCGGCAGATGGGGCACCAGCATCCTCCTCCCGAGTCTTCCTCATGATGGCTGCAGAGGATGGGGTTCTCTGAATATTTTCTCTTCTGAGGACTTGAGGTCTCCCCAGTGCCTTTCCCAGTTCCTCGAGAAAGACAGTCTTCTCTGGAACTTCCTTCTGTTCCTTTCTGGGTTTGGTGTGATCCAGACGACAAAGGCGTTGTATGCTGAGATGTCCAACATGTCAAAGAAAATCACCAGTGGCCAGTGTAGTGCCCTCCTTTTGCAGCTGTAGGCAGTCACCAGCTTGTCCATGTTGTCCACCCCTCCTTTTGTGACATTGTAGTCCATGATGATCTGTCTTTTTTGGCCACAGATTTCCCCATTCCTGTGCAGTGTACTCATGAGCAGAACATTCTTGTCTTTCTTTGGCACATAGGACACCAGGGATGT